AATGGATTTTCGATTGGGATATCGCATTTTGTTCGCCTCGAAGGGGGGCACACATTGAGCGTGTAGCTAGAGTGGTCCGTCGAATGCATTTGTGTGCAATCAATGAATTTCAGTTCCTCCACTCGGTAGCATCTTTATCGCTACTTTCTTAATACTTGATACGCGCATCAGAAAGTACGTTTCTCCAGCTTTCCAAAGAACACTCGATTAGCTCTGTAGCCCTAAACGCGGGTGAGATATGAGTATTTCAAGTCGCCGTATGTCCGATGTACTTCGACCGCTCGGGAGACATTTCCTCCCCTTCTGGAGCGACGACGGTGATTTGGAACGCCAAACATGGGTACGCGTGGTCTACTCGAAGCAGGCTACACGATCCATATGGTTTTTTTGAATTTTTTTTTCCGGGGCCAAAAAGTGTATCTTATGCGCCGAGACCCTTTAATTATTTCTTGTCGTGATTTGTGGTTTATGACAGGTTGGTATGTTTGAATATTTTCCCAAAAATTCTCTAAATTATGTTGTTACTCTATAACAAAGTACTTATGAATTTTCTTGTATATTACCTATGATATGGAATTATAATTTTACTTCTCATTCGGACTTTCAATATATCTTAAAAACACATAATAATATATCATTACGTATGGACAAGCTCACTACAACAGATTAATTACACATGTTAATCGCCGTTAGAAATTATTTTTAACAGATGTTTTGAGAGGAATTTATCAAATGCTCACCAACGCAATAACTCTTTTACAGATACAAATTCTGCGGCTCTTTGCCTAATCATCTGGACGATAAAGATATATTGGACGATGATCCAAAGGAAAATAATAATACAATGACTGATACCATCACCGGGAACCTTGGTGGAACATTACCACACAAAAAACGATCGTTGGGTGTCCATTTTTCTGACAGTGGACCAACTGGCACTCTAGACCTCGTGAAACATCGATCACAGGACTCTCTGGACGAAAACGATCCTTGGAGGTATGCCATTATACATTTATATAGATTATCTATCTAACAAAATATCTGATATCACGTTTCAAAAATATACCAGTTATGAAAAGATTGAACCCGCATAATTAGTTGTTACATTATAAATTGCTGCTCAAAATTATAAGTTCATTTTATTTTTAACTTGCTTACTGTTACGAATAATATTATCTTTCTCTTTTTTAGTAGCTTATAAAAATACAAAAAGTAATGATGTAAGAATAAATTTTATAATTTTCACTTGACCCAAAAATTCGTTTTATGGAAAGTGAATATTTTATGGAATCGAGAACGTTTTATGGAACATTTATAGATTGGTCAAAAGTAGAAGTTCACTTATAGAAAACCATTTACTTACTAATTAATTTCAACATAAACTGGATTTATTAATCAATTGTTTGTTTATTACGATTATTTAATTCGAATGGTTAAATATCCGTGTTTTTAATACTTTACAAAACACGTAAAAATGACACATCCTAAATATTTTCTGTTAAATTACAGCGGTTATTAATATGGTTTAGTCGAAATGTACATTAACTTTTGTTGGGATAAATAACAATTGATTGTATGTTTCTTTCTTTATTTACTCATTGTTATATTTTATTTCTAATCTAAAAAGAGTTGCTTACCAAGAATCCATAAACCTGGTGTTAGTAAGATTTCAATTCAGTTTTTATTACTTGTTCCCCAAACTTAAACAGCAATAGCTTTTAATATTTAAATTAATATTTTTTCTTCCGCATATAAATTTGATTTACATGCAGGTTTTCTTCCTACATTTTCAATTATAGCTATAGTCAAAATCCATATCCATTTTGAAGATTCAATATTGCTATCTTTGAATCGTGTTTGTATGCTTACATTGCTATGAATAGTAATGTTATTCTATAGAAATTTGAATAATGTTTAATTATGATCCAGAAGGTAATGGAGCAAATGTAATTCTAAAACTCCTTAATATTCTTTACTATTTATCTCCGCAATTGGGAATTTCCAAAATGTGGTAGAAGCTTCGCACATAATTACTTGCTTCCTCCAAAATTGCACATCGGAGCAAAGTAATTTTCAATTGAATTAGTGATTTTCTATGTTACCTGTAACAATAGAAAATTTTAGAGCCGCAAAATGGTTTTGATTCATATTGACATAATATTTGAAAGTAAACAAAATTTCGAAACATAATTTCGCTATAGGCAATGTAACGGTATGAAATACTTTCAACGCAAAGATCAATGTTGAAAAATATAAAGAAATTTCAGAATCACGTTTACTCCCTTATTTTCGAGATAAAGACATGATGAAATATCACCCACTTTCAGCAGGGTGATTTTTCTAAGTGCATACCGCACCGCAAGCAAACAAACATGGATCGCAAGATCCAAGTTCAGATACAAAATATTATTGAAAATGTATGAAAATACTTGAAACCCGAATTTACATGGCAAGCAAATATTGGATGGTTTCGAACAAAATTACTCGAATTTTTCAAATTAAGAAACAAGTAATATCCGCTTTATTTGATAAAATATTTGGAATTTCGCAAATAGCCATTCGAAAAATATAGGAAACTCGGTTGTATACAATATAACTTAAAGTTACCAGACATTTAAGGTAGTTATGTCACCACTTAGCCCTTCTTTTTTTTTGAAATCAGTTAAGAATAGTGATATGTAGTTCAAGTTTTATCTCGAAAATTTGAAGTACCACACCACGCAATATACACTGCTCAAAAGAAATATGGCATAGAAAAAATTTAGGCAAAAATTGGCCAAATTTGACTGATGATAACTCCGTGAAAAATCATCGCAAAGTTATGCTCTTTTTTTTTAATTAAAGCTTGAGATCTCTACTTTAAGACCCTGTAGTTTGATTTTAGATTTGATGCATCCCTACCACAATAACACCGTAAATGTGAGGTCATGTTTGCAATATTGAAAATTACAAAGTTTGACGAAATGCATGGACTTGCCACATTTTTTTGGGGCGATACTGTTT